AAATATGGACTTCCACATATCAGTTCTTTTTCTGGAAACAAATATTATTTTCCTTTATAATTGACTTGAATGATCATATTACCCAAAAGAGCTTAGAAATTCACAGTTACTCTTTCAATAATGCTGTTACTGCATACAACATTCTCGTGGTTCTGCTTGTTTCTTTCTGCATTATTTCATGCAAATCTTTTCATGTTTTTTTTAAAAACAACCTGCTTATCATTTCTTACAGCACAGTAGTATTCCATCCCAATCATATATCACAACTTATTCAGCCATTCACTAATTGATGAACTTTCCAGTTCTTTTCCACCACAAAGAAAGCAATTAGAAATATTTTAGAACATTTAGGTTCTTTTCTTTTTTCCTTGATCACTTTGGGAAGATCTAGTAGTGGTTTTCTGGGACAAAGGGTATACACAATTTTATAACTCTTTGGGCATAATTCCAAATTGCTCTCCAAAAGATTGGATCAGTTCAAATTCTACCAAAAGTATATTAGTGTCCTAATTTTTCCACATCCCCTCCAAACATTTGTCATTTATCTCTTCTATCATTTTAGCCAATCTGATAGATATGAGACCTTACTTCAGAGTCGTTATAATTGCATTTCTCTGATCAATATAGCATTTTTCATATGATTGTATATACCTTTGATTTCTTCTTCCAAAAATTGCCTGTTGAATGTCCTTTGATCATTTATCAATTGAGGAATGACTCATATTCTTAGAAATTTGACCAAATTCTCTATATAGTTGAGCTATAAAGTCTTTTTTTTTCAAGAAACTGACTATAAAAAAATTTTCCCAGTTTTTTGCTTTCCACCTAATCTTGGCTATGTTAGTTTTATTTGTATAAAAACTTTTTTAATATAATCACATTTATCAATTTTACATCCCACAATGCTCTCTATCTTTTGTTTATAGATTCTTCTCTTACCTATAAATCTGACGGGTAATACGTTCCATTCTCTTCTAATTTACTTATGACGTCTCCCTTTACGTTTAGGTCATGTATCCATTTTGACCTTATCTTGGTAAGTGATCTAAGATATCGATCTGCACCTAGTTTCTTCCAGACTGCTTTACAGTGTTCCCAGTAATTTTTGCCAAATAGCAAGTTCTTATCCCAATAGTTCAGATCTTTGTGTTCATTAAATATGAGGTTAATATGGTCATTTACTACAGTATATTGTATGTATACTCTATTCCATTGATCCACCATTCTATTTCTTAGCCACTCTAAGGAAGTTTTGATAATTATCACTTGTAATATAGTTTAAGACCTGGTACTGCTAGAGCTTCTTCCTTATTTTTTTTCATTAATTCCTTTGATATTCTTCTTGTTGTTGTTCTTCCAAATGAAATTTATTTTTTCCCAGCTCAACCAGATATTTTTTCTAATTTAATTGGGATGGTACTGAGTAAGTAGGTTGGTTTAGGTAGAACTGTCATTTTTTATTATGTTGGCTTGGCTTACCCATGAACAACTAATATTTCTCCAATTGTTTAAATCTAACTTTGTGTAAAAAATGTTTTATAATTACGTTTTTTATAATTATGTTCGCAGTTCCTGGGTTTGTCTTGGCAAGCATACTCCCAGGTATTTTATATTGTCTACAGCTATTTTAAATAAAATATCTCTTACTAATTTTTCTTGCAAGGCTTTGTTGGTGATATGTAGAAATGCTGGTGATTTATGTGGGTTTATTTTATATCCTGCTACTTTGCTAAAAATAATTAACCATTTCAACTAATTTTTTAATTGAATCTGTAGGATTTTCCAAGTATACAATCATATCACCTGCAAAAAGAGACAATTTTATTTCCTCATTGTCCATTCTGATTCCTTCAATTTCTTTTTCTTCTCTTTGCTATTTGCTAGCATTTCAAGTACAATATTTAAGAACAGTGGTGATAATGGGCTTTCTTGTTTCACTCTAGATCTTATTATGAAGGCTTCTAGTTTATCCCCATTAGAGATAATGTTTGCTAATGTTTTTAGGTAGCTGCTGCTTATTATTTTAAGGAAAAATCCATTTATACCTATGCTTTTAAGTGTTTTTAGTAGGAAAGAATGTTATATTTTATCAAAAGCTTTTTCTTATGATTTTTGTTGATTTTGTTTTTGATATTAACAATTATGTTAATAGTTTTCCTTATAGTCAACCAGCCTTTCATTCCTGATATAAATCCCACTTGGTCACAATGTATTATCTTTGTGATTTTTAAAGGTTTTTAAAGGTCTCTTTTAAACCTCTTATCAGTCAGTCTCCTGGATTAATGTTCATTTCTATTCTCTTGGCATGTACTCTGTGGAGGAAGCAATATATTAAATCCTTCCTCCCTGAAAATTAGGCTAGTTCCCCCATCCCCAAGGCAACATAGCAGTCCCTGAGAATTGACTGGTCCCAAGGGTTAAAGCTCAAGGTAAACCTTCCTTGATGGAGCTTCTTTGTAGTCTCTAGCCCTAAAGATGTGGCTTCCTAGATACCCAGGGCCACACAAAGGCCTACCCATACAGTGTTGGGGCCATTTAGACCAGGCAGACATGTAAAAACTACTTGGAATTGTCACCATGCTCTGCTCTGCAGCCCATGTCTAAATAAGGGGGAAGGGGAAAAAAGGAAGGAAGGGAGGAAAGATGGAACGAAGGAAGGAAGGAAGGAAGGAAGGAAGGAAGGAAGGAAGGAAGGAAGGAAGGAAGGAAGGAAGGAAGGAAGGAAGGAAGGAAGGAAAAAGAGAGAGACGGAGGAATTTTTTAAGCATCTACTAGGTGTCAGGCATTGAGCTAAGCATTTTATAACTATTTATCTCATTTGATTCTCCACAAGCACTCTGGAAGTTTATTATTTCCAGTTTACAGTGGAAGAAACTGAGGTAGACAGAGGTTAAGTGATGTTGCCAGGGTCACACAACTAGTAAGTTTCTGAGACTGGACTTGAACTCAGATCTTCCTGCCCCCAGGTCAAGCCCTCTATCTACTGGGCCAGGTAGCTGCCTACCTAAGCTTAAAGCTAAAGTATCCTTGTTAAATATTCTTTCTAGGCTATGGCTAAGTAAACAAGTGCCCAATTTCATTCCAACATCAAACTAACAGTGTGACAGCCTGAGGCAGGCTTGTGCCTAACATCCTCACTCTTCAGTAAAGCTGTGAGATGATGAGATAAACTCTTGCTTTACATTTCATAAAATTCAGTTCAAAATTTAATAAGTGCCCAGTGTGTGAAAAGCAGCATGCTTGCAGGGAAACCTGAAGACAAAAATGAAACCCTCAATACCTATAAAATGCCTGCATTGGGCTGGGAAGGGGGAGACAGGAGGAGGAGGAGGAGGGAGAGGGAAGTAGTTTACACAAATGTACCTGGGTGTGTGTGTACATAGATAAGTATGAGATAAACAAGGAGAAGATCCAGAAAATTTGAGGAGAGAGAGAATATGTTTGACTGAAACCATCAAAGAAGGCTTCACAGGGGAGCTGGCCCCTTTTTCTCAAGGGAGAAAAAGACTGATGGTGGGGCTGAGGAGGAAGTGCATTCCAAAAATAGACCACAACTAGGCAAATATTAATAAGATCAAGTGGTACCATCCAGTTCAGGAAAACAAAAGTAGAACATTTTAGCTATAATGTGACAAGTATGGATGAAATAAGAGAACATGCACTTAGGCTGAAAAAGTAGGTCGAAACCTCATTGTAGAGAGCCTTGACTGTCCATCTCATGTGTAGACACCTAAAGGGATTCTAGATAGAGTTGGAGGGTAGGAAGGCACTGTGAACTTGGATGAGAAGAATACATCTTTATTTAAAGTAATCTCAAAAAATTTAACATTTTAGGAAACTTATCATTTCCCTCAGTCATGGATTTAGGCAACAAAACATTATTCTGAGGAGATTGCTAGAGGGATCCATAGTGGGGGTAGGGTTAGGAACACTTGATCTAAGAATATTATATTTTATCTTACAAATAATATAGGATATCTGATATTTTGAGCAGGGGAAATATACATTACAAAGAGCATATTCTCTTAAGCAACTTGAAATGAGCACATGTCTACATTAAAAGGGAGAAACTAGTTAGAAAGACTAGGAAAAGGGAAGGCAGAATGTCAGTCAATGAAGATGAAAAATTTAGTGAAACTTAAGGAAACATGAAATTATGTAGAGCAAAGTCAGGTCAATTGAAAATAAAAATGTGCTGTATAAAGGAAAACAATAATAGCTATCATTTGTATGTTGCCTTAAAGTTTGTGAAATGTTTTTTATCTGTCTACTCATTTTATCCTATAAGGTAGAAGCTAATAGTATTCCCATTTTACAGATGAAGAATCTGAGCCAAATTGGGGTTAAATGACTTGCCTGAGGTCACACAAGTAGGGAGTACCTGAGGCGGGATTTGCGGGATTTGAAGGATTTGAAGGGCTTCCTGACTCCAAGTCTTAGGGTTCTATGTACCATGCGCTATGCCACTTGGCTCCTTCAAGAACGCTAAAAGACAAGAGAATTCTGCTCAGTGAAATGACTACTCAGTATTCTAGGGAACTAAGGATGAAACATACCAGTCTTAGCAGAGAAGAGATTGATGACAGGTACAGAATGAGACCTGTGCTGCCAGATAGCTCTTGAGGGAGTGAAAGGTATTGGAAAATGACATGAAGTTTTATTAAATAGCATTAATAAATCAATTTCAGGGCATGAAAAGAAAAAGTAGAGGAATAGGGAAACAGAAAGTGAAGAGAAAGAGGAGAGAGAGAGAGAGAAGAGAGTGAAGGGACAGAGAAGAGATGAGAGGATGGAACTAAAATTTCAGTCCAAGGTGGTCAGAAATAGGATCATGGAAAAAAAATGGGATTTGAACCTGGCCTTTACAAGCTCTAATATCTCATATTTATATAACATTTGACAGTTTGCAAAGCACTTTCCTCACAAAAACTCTGTGGAGTAGGGTACAGAGATTACTATCTCCATTTTTAAAATGAGAAAACTGAGGTTAGATGACTTACCCACAGTCATACAGCTAGTGACTACTGAAATCAGGATTTGAACCCAGGTCTTCTGGTTCCAAATAGCCTATTTGAAACCTATATAAAGAGAAACCCTGCATGAATTGAGGGGAGAGCAAAATGCTTGCCAGTAATAAAGCACTCACATAGTGGAAGCAGAGAGTTTTGTCCAGAGTATACAAGTTCTTTTTGGTTATTTAACATGCCTTATTGAGCTATGCCACCCTGATGGCCGCAGGAGCTTTAATTTCTCACCACTACTTCCCAAAATCACAGGCAACGAATCTTCCAGCAAATGACTTTTGTCGTGTAATTTCTAAAACAGCCAAGCTGAAGCCCAAATAAAAAATAAATTGTGGAAAATGGTGCTGCTTGGAGCTGCTTTTCACATAACTCATTCAACTTGCAATGTAACAACCTCAAATAAAAGGCCACTTTTTAAATTAGAAATCAGCTTGAAAAACCACATGCTACAGAATTTTAACAAACTTCAGCAATAGAGTTCAGCAAAACTCTATTTTTAAAATAACAAGTGTTTTGCAAGTATTCTTTAATACCATTTGATCAATTGATCTTACCCAGACAAAATCTGAGGGGGGTGTGTGTGTTTGTGTGTGTGTGTGCTTTGCAGCTTGGTACTTGTCTGCTTGTGAACATAGTATCTTATTTTCAAAGCCATTCTTCAGAATAATTAAAATTGAGGCTAGAATGAGACCGGAATATTATTTTCCTTCGGGTTTAGAAGCTAGAAAACCTTCATTGCATTATATGTATACACACAATGCCAAGCACACGTGCGTGTGCACACATACACACACACACACACACACACACACACACACACACGGAAAATATTTCTTGGAGGAGGGGGTTGTCCTGATTTTGCCTGTAGAATGAAGACGAAATTACCATTCACCATTTAAGGTGGAATTAACATTGTACTACAAATCCAAATGGTAGTGCACAGAAATCATCTTAAGTGGAACTGACAAGTAATGCAACATGGTCCCATAACCCATTGTGTGTTATTCTTTCCATTTTAGGCTTTACTTTATTATTCAAAGTGATTACTCAAGGAGAGGCAAATTGCAGACCCACTCACCACTGATACAGAAAAAAACAAAGGCAGAAAAAATTTGCAACCTCAACCAGATCTAGCACACAAAAGGTTAATTTTCCTTGGGCAGCTCCACTGATTCTCTTTAAAGCCTTTCCCCTCCCCCCTTTTTTTTTCTCTTAAGTACTCCAAGCTGTAAACACAGCTGAGTGAACAAGACATCATCTTTTCAATTACCTTCAACTCATAGAACTTCAGAGCTGGAGAGAAATCTGGAGGTCATTGAGTCCAAATCCCTCAGTTTATAGATGAAAAGACCAGGGAGGTTATGTGATTTGCCCAGGGTCATGCAACTAGTAAATACTTGAGGTGGGATTCAAACCCAGGTCTTTCTAATTACAAGTGCCAGCACTCTATCTGCAACAGTCCTCTGTCTCTGAACTCTGACAGCCCTTTGTCTCTATTGAACAATTCAGGGCTTAATTATATTCTATCCTGTATTGTTTACTACAGTATTATATGCATATGTTCCCCTCCTCCTTCAAATGATCATATAATCCTCAAGGGCAGGGCTATATCCTATATCCTGCACAGAATTTAGCACTGGGATGGTCACAGAGAATAGAAATACACAACGATCTATGTATGATCCCAGCTGTGTGATCTTCACCAACCAAAGAATATCTCTGTTACTTTGCCAACACCCAAGGCATAAAAGCTAAATGACTTGGCCAGGATCACACAGCTACCAATGGTAAGGTTTGGTACTCACATCCTCCTGACTGACAAGCCTGGCATTCTATCCATGCTGCCCCTGGGCACCAACAGATGTTCAATAAATATTTGTCAACTTATTGATATATTTTCCTATCCAATAATAATTGTTAGCCCTCCCCTTTGAAAACAAATGGTTACTTCAAACAAGGTATATGCACCAGTATAAAATGAACCAAATCTGTACTCACAAACTGAAACAATTAGTTGGGTAGTCCAACATCACCCACCTCACTCTTCCCATCCATTTTGATTGCATGTTAAGGATGCAAAGTACTATCTTCATAATGTTGAGGTTCAGATGTGAGGGGTGCTGGGACCCTGAAATCACAATATATGGGTCCTGCCCAAAAGAATTCAATCCAAGCCTTCTTTCAGCCAAAGACAATGTTTATTAAAGATGAGCCATATAGGCCAGCCTCTTAAGGAATCTGAACATTTGTGACAGTCCTAAGGATGAGCAGGCATGAGGAAGTCTTGGCCCCTAAAATGCAGCCAGGATGGATCTTATATACAGAAAGACTATGGGAATGATCTAGGAGTGGCCAAGTATTTTAGGGTGACTGGAGGAGGGTCTGGGAGAAGGGGTGTCTTGATGGGAGTGGCCAGGAAGCTGGGGTGACTAGAGGAGGAGTTTAGGGAGGATCTTGAAGCTGGAGTGACTGGGGAAGGTCCTGGGAGAATCTTGGGAGTGTTTGGGAGGTTGAATGGAGTCTGGATAAGATCAAGGATGGGAAGTATATAAGATATAGTATGTGGGTCAGTAAGACAATGGAGAGCTAGACTTTAATTAGATTAACAAAGAATTAGGAGATTGGGTGTAGGCAATGAGGAAGAGCCAGTTGATAGGAATAAGAATAACCTCAGGAGACTGCTAGATTTCCTTGATCAGGTAAAAGTGCAAGTAAGGTTCATGAAAGAGGTTTTTTTTTTGGAGGGGGGTGTCTTGGGCCCATGCCCCATCAATAATAGCCCTTAAAATCAGGCTTGCAAAATGGGGCTATATCCATTTTGCAAATGAAGAAACTAAGGCTCAGAAAGGTTAAGTGACTTGCCAATGGTCACACAGCTAATAAACGTCAATTAATTAATAAACATTTATTAAGTGCTACTATGTGCCAGTCACTGTGTTAAATGCTGGAGATACAAAAAGACACAAAAGATGTTCCCTGCCCTCAAGGAGTTTACAGTCTAGTGGCAGAGACATCATGCAAACAAATACATACAAAGCAAGCTATATATAGCATAAGTAGGAAATAATTGAAAGAGGGAAAGTACTTGAATGGAGAGGGGACAGGGAAAGCTTCCTGTATAAAGGGATTTTTGTCAGGACTTCCAGGAAGCCTGGGAGGTCAGTAGTCAGAGCAGTAGAGGAAGAGCATTTCAGGCATGGAAGATAGCCAGAGAAATTGCCTAGAGCTGAGAGATGGAGTGTCTGGTTTGTGGAACAGTCAGGAGGCCTGTGTTACTGGATCAAAGAGTACATGTCAGGGAATAAAGTGTAATAAGACTGGACTGGTAGAAGATAGCTAGGTTATGAAAGACAATGCATCTTGTGTTTACTCCTAGAATCAGTAGAATGCCCCTGGAGTTCATTGAATAGGGCATTGAGATGATTGGACCTGTGTTTTAGGAAAATTGCTTTAGTGACTGAAAAAAGAATGGATTGGAGTAGACATACGTAGGGGCGGGCAGACCCACTGGCAGGCTATTCTAATAGTCCAGACATTAGCTGATGAGGGCCTGCACTAGAGTAATGGCAGTATCAGAGGAGACAAAGTCCTGCATTTTGACACAACTAGTTAATTAATCTCTCCTGTTCCCCAAAAGCCATATTTTGATTCAAATTATCCAATTTTTTACTTTGCTTTTTTTACATAGCTACTGCCTAAATGCCAATCTTACACAACATTACATAAAATTATCATCAGCCCTTACTGCTCAGGGCCCAGGAAGGGGATTGATTCATCATCAAATCCCTTTTCTAGGGGCATCTAGGTGGCACATTGGATAGAGCACCTGCCCTGGGGTCAGGAGGACCTGAGTTCAAATCCGGTCTCAGACACATAGCATTCAGTAGCTGTGTGACTCTGGGCAAGTCACTTAACCTCAATTGCCTCACCACTTAAAAAAAAAAAAACCCTTTCTGCACTGAGCCAGCACACATAGTGAGGAGGAAGGGGTGGAGGGAGTGTACAATACTGTAAGGGCTCAAGTGCTGAGCCAGCACACTAGTAATCAACTTAGCTCTGAAGGTTCACTGTGAAATCTCATTATACTTGCATAATCTGTATTGATCAATAAATCCAGGGTCCTGAAGGATAATCCATCTGTAATTTCTAGTGGCAATGAATTTACTCCTGAATTACCATCTGATCCTGAGAGTGCAAAGCAGGATTCTTATCTTAAAACTCTTCCTTTTTATAACCAAATCAACACAACTCAGCTATTAGTTCAGTCTGTGTCAACATATTGCTGTTTGGATTCCTGTGAATGTTTCCCACAAGGATTTGACTCCACTCTGGAATCTTAGTAATTTCATAGTTTCCATCCATGGAGTAAATTATTTTTGATTACATTTGACAAATCCCATGTCATTTGCCTATTTTCAGTCTTTATTACTGTTCAGTGAAGTGATATCTACTTGTTCCGAAATTATTTAAGTTTTCAATACACTTCTTATGTGCATAGTGCTTGGCACATAGTAGGTGCCTAATAAATATTGATTGATTGATTGCTCTGAGAACATTTATTTCTTCTCTTTCCTCTTTTTGAGTACAAAGAATTAATCTTTCTATAGCTACCTTAGGATGATGATGCTGTATTATATTAATATTGTATTAGTTATTAATTACTATTATTATGTAGTACCTTCTCTGGGCTCCTTCTCCTAACTTACATTGGCAGACTGAGTACTAAAGGTCAACTGATTACTTACACCTCCTATTTGGATTCTAGGGATAAGCCTGGGGGATTAAAAATTCTAATGTTATAGCTCATGAGCCTTCATTCAGTATGCTCACCATCAATATTAAGTAATCAGTTGATATCTTTCCAATATCAGTTAACCAGTTGACATCAATTGGCTATTATTGTTGTTGTTGTTGTTGTTGTTGTTGTTGTTTAGGGACATTTACTGATAAGATATTGCAAGGATCATAATATAAAATTTCCCCCTCTCCAGACTGGGAGATGCTCTTTCCCCTCAGCACCCATTTGGTCCTTGGAGAAACTGAACCCAAATTTAAAATAGATAACACAAAACATGCCTAGCCTAAGCCCTAGAAGTCTTTTTTTCCTTTCCCAGAATCCCCACTAATTTTATATCTGGGTATGGCATAGCATTGTTCACAATCTTGGTGTCTTGGTTACTGGGTTAATTCACTGTTAGACTGGATCAAGCAGGTTGCCCTTCAGGGTTAGTTTTTCAGCCAGCTCAGTTGTTTCTGCTACCAATTGCTGGATTGCTGGAGACTCTTCCAACTTTTCTACATACCCACTGGTCATCAAAACTTGGTCTGCTTCATCTCCAAATATTGACTCACCTAATATCGAAAAGAATAAACACAAACAACAAAAGAAAAGAGGAGCTGTGCATTCACAGATATATGGTGGCAATGTGGAAGAGAAAGCCCAATGCCCTTCCCCCAGCCTCTGCTCCACTCCACTTCTCCCACCACAGTTTTGAAAGTTGCCAAGGATCAAGAGATCATCCTTTCAAAGCTTTTGCATGCCCACTCAGTTCCATTTCATCTCTACTGAGTCATTAGACATTCCAGCCCATGATTATAACAATAGTAATAGCTAGCATTTATATATCACTTCCCATGTGCCAGGCACTGTGCTGAGCACTTTACAAACATTGTAAAATTGGGGGCATCTTTCTTTAATGCTTTCACCTCGTGCACCCATTCTGGTGTGCTCCTCCCACTGTTAATTACAAGAAATTAATGCTCTAGTTCCATTGAAAGAATTTACCTTAATTAGCTTTTCCAAAGAGAATATTTACTTTCTGCATGTTGTTCATCCTTCATTCTCAAAGAGCATCATGGGGATGATTTCTTAACTTGCCCATGTATTAGATTCAAGTGAGGAAGAGCTGCAAAGTTGTCAGCCTCAGCCTCTTCTCCAGAGTCATCACAACAACTCTAAGTGGAAAGTAGCGCAAGTGTTATCATCTCTTTACAGATAAAGAAACTAAGCCTGGAAGAAGCTAAGTGACTAAATACAGGATATGTTAGGAAATACGTAAGGTCTTCTGACCCAAGACTTGTGTTCTTTCCACCATATCCACACCACCTCCTATCATGGAACTATCTCATAATTTTCCATAAAGTGTTGATTATCCTCCAGCAAAATGTACATCTACTAAATTTAATTGCAAATAATTTTCTAAAGTAATTTCCTTAACTTTCCAGCAGAACCCAAAAGAGTAAACCACAAACACATAATTAATCACCTATAAGGCAAAGAATACTTCTTCCATTTAAATGTAATGAAGCCCTCACCTCAGGCAAAGATTGGCCCTAATAGTGCTTAAGTAGAAGAAAAGAGTGTTAGAAATGGAAGGTGCCATAAAGATCAGCTCTCCAACACTCTCTTCCCAAAGGAGATTGCTGAGACCCAGAAAGGATTTGTTTGATTTGCCCAAGGTCACACAGCAAGTTGGACAAATCCCTGCAGTACGGAAAACTCAGAAATCATCTCACAGAGGGGGTGCAGGAGGTAGGGAAGTGCAGGTTCCTGGAGGTATATCAAACAACTAAATTCCCAACAGAGATCAAGGGACCTCAAGCAATTAAGCTTTAAGTCAATTCCAGTCAACCACAATGATACCAGCAGCTTTGGGGAATTCCCACTATGGAGGTAGGGAGCCTGGCCAGAAGTTACAGGGATGGCCCCTCCCCACAGGAAATCATGTCAGTGAGCAAGGTCTTTGACCTTCCCCCTTCCCTTAAGCATCATTATCTTTCAAGTCTCAACTCAAATCAAACCTCCTCCTCAAAGATAGCCTCACCCTAACTTTGAGTTCTCCTTCCTGTAGCACTCATTTAGTCTCTAGTACATGCCCCACTGTGTTACTGTTTATTGTGTATGTCTTGTCCGCCTGATTAGATAATAAACTTTTGGAGAACAAAAACTATAGTGCCCTGGGCTGAATAAGTTTGTTGTTGATGATAACAGGTTCACAGATCAAGAGCTAGAAGGATTTTTAAGGCCAACTTGTCTAATTTTCATTTCACAGATAAGGAAACGGAGGATCAGAAAGGTTATGACTCACCCAAGATCACACAATGATCAGAGGTGGCATTTGGACATAGGCACTCTGACTCCCTGGGACAGCTAAGTGGTGCTGGGGGCAGAGTGCAGGGCAGGGAGTCAGGAAGACTCATCTTCCTGAGTTCAAATTTGGCCTCAGACTAGTTGTGTGGCCCTGGGCAAGTCACTTAACTATATTTACCTCAGTTTCCTCACCTGTAAAATGAGCTGGAGAAGGAAATGGCAAAACACTCAAGTGTTTCTGCCAAGAAAACCCCAAATAGGGTCAGGAAGAGTTGGACAGGACCGGAAAATTACTGAATGACACTCGCTGGCCTTAGCTTTTCCCAATGTACTATAAAGACAATAATAATTACAATAACTATATTCTCAAGACTTAAATAGAAAAGTAAAAGAGGTTTTATTCTTTTAAGTATGGGGGCCAAAAAATAAATTATTTTTTTCCTTTCACATGAACCCATTCAGAGAAAGACTTCAGTTGAACACTTTGCAGGAAATACACACTAGAACAGGGCTGTCATCAAGGATGCCTCATTTTCCCTGGCAGTGAGCTTTGAAAGCGAGGTCAGTAAATACAGTGCTGGGCCTGGAGTAAGGAAGACCTGCATTCAAATCCAGCCTCATACACTTATCAGCTATGCAACTCTGGGCATGTCACTTGGAAAACTCAAAAATTATCTCACAAATGTCACTTAACCTTTGTTTGCCCAAGTTTCCACAAGTGTAAAATAGGGGAAATAATAGCACTAATCTCAAAGGGTTGTTGTATCTGATGAGATAAAGTTTGTAAAAGACTTTGCAAACCTTGAAGCACTATCTGAATGGCAGCTATTGTCAAAAGAAAAAGCCAGACCCATGCTCTGACCAGTAGGTGATAGACTTAACTTGCATAATTTAATATGTTATTAAATTATTATTTAAATTATTAAATTATAATTTAAAATATTATTACTAACTTTATATAGTAGTTACAAGAATATTAGTTCACAAGGGTTTTGCTATTTTTTTTCAATGGGGGAGGAGGTTGGGTGGTACAATGAAAGCGGGATAATGATAGCTTTGAAAGTTACTTGTAAGACATAAAAAATGGGGGGTCCTATTTGTACAATTATATTTATAGCAGCTCTTTTTGTGGTGGCTAAGAATCAGAAATTGAAGGGATGCCCGTCATTGGGGAATGGCTAAATGAGCTATGGTATATGATTGTAATGGAATATTATTGTGCTGTAAGAAATGACAAGCAGGATGATTTCAGAAAAACTGGAAAGGCTTATATGAACTGATGAACACTGAAGTGAGCAGAACCAGGAGAATGTTGTACACAGTAATAGCAATGTTGTACAATGAAGAATTGTAAATGACTTAGTTATTCTAGCAATACAATGATTCAAGACGATCCTAAAGGACTCATGATGAAGCATGCTATCTGCCACCAGACAAAGAATAGATATTGTTTGAATACAGACTGAAGCATACTTTTTTTAAACTTTCTTTGATTTTTTTCTTTTATTCGAGTCTTCTTGTACAAAATTACTAATATGGAAATATTTTACATAATTGTACATGTATAACTTATATCTGATTGTATATTGTCTCAGGGAGTGGGAAGGGGATGGGGGGATAAGGCATAGAATTTAAAACTCAAAACTTTAAATAGAAATGTTAAAAAAAATTTAAAAAGAAAGTTACTTGCTGAAGGCATTAGATCCTTAAAAAGAACAAGCAGTACATAATGGAGATTTGCAGTTATATGTATGATCCTCTTTTTCTGTTCTACTTTAAAAGCCTATATATTATCTGGTGTTTGTGAAGTTCATAAATTAAAAATAAAACAAGATTTAAAAATAAAGAAAATTAAAAGAAAAAAGCCAAAACTGATGCTTCATTGGGAAGAATCCTGTTAGTCTGATTCTTAGTGGGTTAAAACTTTTGTAAAAACAAAAAAAGAAACATTTTGCTGGTTGCATCAATCTTTGAAACACTGCAGAATCTCAGGGAAGAGATCTGTCATCAGTCAAAAAAGTTTAGCCTGTCCATCTATATAGGAAAGACCTAGTATATGAAAAATGTCTATTGCCCAGATTTTAACATGCTTTTATATGGACACTTTAAAATTCACTGTCCATATAATTGACTGTCCATCAGGCAATTAACATTTATTAAACACCTAGTATGTTCTAGGAACTCTGCTAAGCATGGGGATACAAAAAGAGGCAAAAGACAATAAATTCAAGGAACTTACAATCTAATGGGGGGGGCCACAAACAAACAAATATATGCAAATGAACTATATATGGGACAAATAAGAAATAATTAAGAGAGGTGAGGCACTGGATTTAAGAGAGGTTGGAAAAGACTTCCTGTAGAAGAAGGGCTATTAGTTGAGACCTAAAGGAAGTCAGGGAATGCAGTAAGTGGAAACAAGGAGGAAGAGCATTCCAGGCATAGTAGACAGCCAAAAAAATTGTCCAGAGTCAGGAGATGGAGTCAGCCAGGAGGCTGGTGTCACTGATTCGAAGAATATGTGGCAGGTAGGAAAATGTAAGAAACTTGGAAAGGTAGGAAGGGACTAGGTTCTGAAGGGCTGTATGCAACCTCTTCCTGGCTCTGTTCATTTCACCATTCATCAGTTCATGTAAGTCTTTACAGTTTTCCTGAAATCAACTGGCTCATCATTCCTTTTTTTAAAATTTTTTTTCTATTTTTTTAAGGCAATTGGGGTTAAATGACTTGCCCAGGATCATACAACTAGTAAGTGTCTGAGGCCAGATTTGAACTCAGTCCTCCTGACTCTAGGGCTGGTGCTCTATCCACCACACCACCTAGCTACCCCTTGCTTGTCATTTCTTACAGCACAATAATATTCCAATATAAGCATATATCACATCTTGTTTAGCCATTCCCCAATTGATGGGCATTCCTTTGTTTTCTGATTCTTAGCCACCACCAAAAGAGCTGCTATAAATATTTTTGTACAGGTCCCTCTTCTCCCTCTGTAATACTTGGTGATTTTGTATTTTATCCTTGAGGCAATAGAGAGACACTGGAATTTATTGGAGTAGAGTTGAAGGGCAAGGGGGAAGAAGGAACATGGTTGTATCTGCATTTTAAGAAAATCACTCTAGTTCCTGAATTGAGTATGGATTACTGTGGGGAGAGCCTTGAGGCAGGAAGACTGACCAACAGGTTACTACAATAGCCCTCACCATAGTGATGGCAATGTCAGGGGAAAAAATGGTCATTCAGTGAAATAGAGGACTTTCAAGCATTCCTGAGGAAAAGACCAGAGTTGAATATAAAATCTGACTTTCAAATACAAGATTCAAGTGAAACGTGGAAGAGGTAAACAGGAAAGAGAAATTGTAAGAGACTTATTAAGGTTGAGCTGTTTACATTCGTGCATGGAAAGATAATATTTGTAACTCATGAGTCCTTTGTCAGTATTAGGGTAGTGGGAGGCAAAAAAAATATTTGTATAGATAAATAGATAGATAGATAGATAGATAGATAGATAGATAGATAGATAGATAGATAGATAGATAGATAGATATAGGGCACAGGGTGAGTTGAAGATGAAGGGGTAGTATCTGGAAAATAAAATTAAGGGGTGAGAGAGGATTACACTGGGAAAGGAGAAAGGGAGAAATAGAATGGGATAAATTATCTCACATGAAACAGACAAGAAAAGGCTTTTACAGTGGAGAGGAAATGGGGGAAAGTGAGAGGGAATGAGTGAATCTTATTCTCATAGGATTTGGCTTAAGGAGAGAATAACATACATAATGGGATACGGAAATCTATTTTACCTTACAGGAAAATAAGGGGGAAAGGGGACAAGAGAGCAGGGAGTTGACAGAGGGGAGGGCAG